TCTCCCAAGTGGGGGGCATCTGGTGGGGATATATCAGAGAGGATGTCTTTGGGCTCCGGGGCCTTGGCTGGAGTTGATGGCCATGTCTGGGAGCCGTGGATGTGCCAGGAAGGGCTAGTGCAGGGGCTCTTGCTAGAGCTCAGGGAAGGAAGGAGCCAAGGCTTCAGGGAACAAAGAAAATAAAGTCATAATAAAATTACTGGGTTTCTGTGGCCATTCAGTCTCCCTCCCCAACTGCTCACCAGGGAAATACTCCCTCGAAATAGGAGACAGAGAGCTAGGAAAACAGGCCAGAATGAGAGGAGAGTGGGAGGAGAGAGAGAGAGAGACAGAGACAGAGAGAGAGAAGAGAGAGAGAGAGAGAGCTGTCCCCACTCCACACACACTCACACCCCAGGAAGCTAGTCTGTGTGTTTCTGTGTACGTTTCTGTTTCTGCATGTGCTTAATATGTTTAAGCCCCCAGGCCTCTCCTCAGCTCACCCTGTGTGTCATACTTCTTGCTGTGAATATGTCACCTGTGAGCGTCCGTGTCCAGATATGACCACAGCAAGGCCTCGTGCACATGCACTCGTGCATGTCTCTGTGCAGATCTGCCAACTACCCATGTGCAATGGTAAGTCTGCCCACCTGTGCGTGCACCTTCTTCAGTGGAAATAGGTGTGCACTGGTGAAGTCCCCGTACTGGGGGTCCCCACGTCTGCTGTCTCTGTGCATGGTCTCGGGCTTTTGCATTTTGAGAATGGGGATAGAAGGGTCTTTAATCTCCCCTGAAGGGGATCCCTGGGTGGCGCGGCGGTTTAGTGCCTGCCTTTGGCCCAGGGGGCGATCCTGCACGATCCTGCGCGATCCTGGAGACCCGGGATGGAATCCCACGTCGGGCTCCCGGTGCATGGAGCCTGCTTCTCCCTCTGCCTATGTCTGTCTCTCTCTCTCTCTGTGTGTGTGTGACTATCATAAATTAAAAAAAAAAAAAAATCTCCCCTGAACCCATCTGAGCTGGCCAGGAAAGAGGGAAGTGGATGGCTTGGAGAGGCCATGACTTTTTGAACTCTAGGCCTTTTCATCTTGGAAAGGAAGAGACAGTGGTCACCCTGGGGGTGGGGGTGGGACTCAATGGCTCCCCCAGGGTCCAACAGCCAGGCTTCTCAGAGAAGGGATTGGGCAGGGGCTGGAGTAGAGAGAAACTGGAGCTGGAGGCCCTCCTCTTACCCCTCCTTGGGATGAGAAAAGCAAGGAAAGATAGGACAGAGAAGGGGAGGCGGGAAAGAGAAAGACTTTGGGGGTCAGCGAATTTTTCTTTTCCGCTATTAACTGCTAAAACATTACTCACTTCCTGGAATAGGGGCTTCAGGTAAGAGGGGGACCCTAGTCCCTTGAAAACCAGTTGTCTGTGGGCAGGGTTCAGAAGGGTCTTTGCAGAGGCCTGAAGCCCCCCTCCTCCCCTCTCTCTCGGCTCCCTGCTCCTCCCTTCCACCTCTAGTCCCTCCACCCCATCCCCTTTCTAGGCCATAGGAGTCCTGGCAAGGAAAGGGTTATCCAGGTGAATGGGGTGGGAAGCACCTGCAGGATGCTTTTCTGAAGGAAGAGGCATCCATGGCCCTGGGGACAGAAAACTGAGAGGAGATTTGCCACCACAACAATGGAAAGAATTGAGCTGAGACTCTAGGAGAACTAGCAAGCATCTGATGGGGGAGGAGGGAGAGTGGGTACATCATCACCTCCTGGGAAGCAAGAAGTCAGTGTGGCCTCCTCTGGCCTTTCCCCTCTCTACCCACATCCCTTACACTTTCTGCGGAAGTCCTGCATCTCCAAGACCCCGTCTACACAGGCCGTAGCCACACGGATAACATTCCATTGACTCTGGATCCAATCCCAGAGGCAAGTTCAGGCATCCAAACTCAAATGAGGTTTGGAGCTGAGTAATCAGCTGCTCGGGCTCTGCGGACATTTTGTCGGGAAGGACCGGCTCCCCACCCCCACCTTGCACAGCAGATTTGGGGCTGGGGGAGGGTTGGTCTGTCACTCCCGTGTCTTCCCAGCCCCCTCCCACCACTGCCTTCTCCCACTTCCCACCTGCAAGTAATTTGGCCAATGGGAGGGCATTTAAGATTGCAGTGTGGAATCCCTCTAGATCTGTGTGTGTTTGGTGGGGAGGGGCTCCCTCCTTCCCCCCCAGACCCCCGTGCACCCTTTTCCTCTTCATGGCAGCAAATTACTTGTAATTATCTCACATTGAAAACCTTCAGGAGCTGCTCCCAAAATTGCTTTAATTGAATTAATTGAATCTCATTTTGTTGGGGGAGAGGATGGGGGGCTGTCTTAAAATAGCATATGGGGAGAGGGGAGGGAAGCCCCAAGTCAGCTTTTCCCGTGGTTGAGACCCTTGTAGGTGAGAGAGTGTGCTCTGGCTTCCCTATTCCCATCCTCTGGTCTCTGCGGATTCTAGATGCCTTTCTGCACTTAGGACCTAGCCTGTGCCCTGCTTTCAAGTGGTGGTGACAAGGAATTGAGACACCTAGCTGGGGGGGTGGGGGTGAGTGGGTGACGGGCACTGAGGGGGACACTTGACGGGATGAGCACTGGGTGTTATTCTGTATGTTGGTAAATTGAACACCAATAAAAAATTAATTTATTAAAAAAAAAAAGAGACACCTAGGTGGCTCAGTGGTTAAGTGCCTGCCTTCATGCCCCGGGGCATGATCCCAGGGTCCCACATCAGGCTCCCTGCATGGAGCCTGCTTCTCTCTCTGCTTGTGTCTCTGCCTCTGTCTTTCATGATTAAATAAATAAAATCTTAAATAACAAACAAACAAGGAATGCATGTAGGTCTCAGAGCCCGTTCCTCCTCCCTACCCTGAGGTGGGGGTGGTGGCAGAGAGGTGAGAGGTGAGAGGTGAATGGATGGCAGTAGCAGTATGAACTCACCCTGGCCATGACCCCTACTCCCCAATAATCACACCACAGTCATAAATGCCATTTGTGAAGCGCGTACTATGTTCCAGGCACCATGTCAAGCATGTTACAAGCACTATCTCACCTCATCATCACAGCTATACTGCAAGGCAGGTCCTATTAGCATTCCCAACTTAGTGTGGAGGAAAACCAGGTTCAGAGAGGGGTTAGGTAACTCGCCAAAAGTCACACAGCAGAGCTGGACTCTGGAGGCTCAAACCACTATTCTCAACCACTGAGTTTGGCCCCCTGCTTCGTTATTGACCCAATTTTCCCAGAGGAGAGTCTTCATGGGAAACCACCATGAAGCTTCTATAGCTCAGAGGGCTTGAGGGAGGTGAATGGGGCACACCCTCCCCCCCCCACCCCCCCCCCCACCCCCCCCCCGCCTTCAAGCCCATCCCCACCCAGGAGCCCAGGGAGGTAAGGCCAACTCCCAAGTGAAAAGGACTCCCTCGTTTCCCCTGGAAAGGTCAGGTGGATGGTGGTAGGGAAGGGGGCAGCTGGCCTCTGGCTGGGAGAGTAATTACACTCCTTCTGCTACTTAACTTTACAACCTGGGCTGTTGTTTTAACGATGCGACTCGTGTTGGGCTGTCCAATTAATCTCGCCTTTGGAGGCTTTCCGAGATGGGGCGGTAGATCTTATCTTGGGTCTGTGGAAAGAGGAGCGCAACCTGCAGTGGGAGGAACAGCCTCCCTGAGGGCCTGTGGCCTCAGAGAAGACCCAGGGGAGGGACCCGGGGCTGGGGCCTGTGAACCTGCAGAGCTGTGGGCTAGGGGCACGGGGAGCCCAGGAGGAAGAAGGGGCGGTTCCCTTCTTGGCACCATCATTCCTCTGTTCTCTGATCTTGGCTTCACGCACTTCTTGTATTTTGCCATCTTCAGGATAACCCTCCAGGTGTGTTCTGGTGAGTGGTGGTGACCACTGACGCTGGAGGGGCCTAGGAGGGGCTGATTGCAGGCCTCCTGGGGTAGGAGTTCCACTGACTTTTGTACCCCCTCTACCCTACAGAGACTCCAACTTGGGCCTCTCTCTGGCCAGAGGAGTTGGCTCAGAGTGCCTAGGTGGGCTTTTCTTTTCTTTTCTTTTAGATTTTATTTATTTATTCATTAGAGACACAGAGAGAGAGAGGCAGAGACACAGGCAAAGGGAGAAGCAGGCTCCATGCAGGGAGCCCGACCGTGGGACTCGTGGGACTCCATCCCAGGTCTCCAGGATCACGTGGGTGGACTTTTCTAATGCAAGCAGCCCACAGTTGGAATAGGTTTAGGCAGTAAAGGGGAAGACTTGGACCATTCTGCCTGGAATTGGAGGCCCCTCCCCCAATCCCTTGGGCTGGGCTGGATTCCCTGAATCATTCACAGCCCTATTCTCGGCCACCTCTCTGCCACTGGGTGCTGTGTGTGTGATGGGGGTGTGGAGGCCACAAATCTACTGTGGGGTCCAGGCTGAGGTAGAGCCCCTGACCATGCCAGCACTACTTTCTTTAACCTGGCACTTACCACACAAGGGGCTGGTTATTTTGTCTGGCTCCCCTGTGCCTCAGCCACCTGGTATCTACAGGATCTAACACAGAGCAGAAGCTTCACACTTGTTTGTTGGATGGAGGAGAAGTCCAGCTCCTTCTGGGATTTTCTTCTCCTCCCCCTCGGTGGGCTGGGGACTCTTCTGCCCATGGAGCACACTGGGAGGACTGGACTGGCTCAGTGGGCTTATCCTCTCTCCAGGTGAGTGGGGACTGAGACAGAGCCCAGAGGATTCCTGTCCCTGGCTCCCTCCAGAACTGGGCCAGGACAGAATTTGCAGGTGAGGACCACTCAGACTTTGCAATATTAGCATCTTTCAGTTTCACACTGGAGTGTATGAAAATGATCATTAGAACATTCCAGAACTACAACCAAGGAGCTAGTTAGTGGAAGAGGCAAAACTGACATCCAGTCCTTTAGCTTGGTGCTGGAAGAGTCAGATGGGAGACAAGAGGGCAATGAGCAACCAATCCCCACCCCGAGAAGTCAGAAAACAAACATACTTCACAGCCAGGGCCCAGGTTTTTGTACAGGTTTAATCTCTGAAAGCTCACAGTGTGGGGAACACTAAATGGGTTATAAATAGGAGCAGTTCCTTTGGACAGAGGCAACTGTGAGGAGCTGAACTGCCAGCCCACCCTCCCTAAGGGGTGTCTCTACTTACACTCATCCAGAGAGTCAGTTGTCCCCCATTCTCCCCAAAATGTTACCCTACTGGGTTCACAAGAGGGTGTGCATATGGGGTTGTTAGGTACTAAGGGTTGGGAAAGGAGAGGACAGGCTCTTAATAAATACCCGTTGAATTATAAAGATAATTGGATCTGTTATCTACCAAAACTGAATAGACATGAGAAAAAGGCTTTTTTTTTAGAAGAGCAAAAATTACCCATAGATCCACAAACTCCACCTTTTCAGCATCTCTTCTAGCTCACAAGATGGTGAGGAGGTGTATCAGTCACGGGGGTCATGTGCCCACCTCCAGGAAAACTCGGTGGGGGAGGGGAGAGACCTGATGGTGCTCAGTATGAAGACTCTGGATGCCCACTTCGCTTCTGCTTTTGCTCCGTGTGCCTTGGGAGAGGCCCAAGGCACACGGAGAGGAACAAATACTCAAGTGTTTCTCGTTTTTTTTTTGCCTCCAGGCAGTGGTAGACTGCAGTCCAAAGAAGCATTGGGAAGACTAAGGGTCCTGGGAGGAGTCTGAGCTTCAGCCAGTGACTCTCCCTCCAGAGCCTCTGATCAGCTGGAAGGAAGGTGTCCAGTCCACAGTATTGGTGGGGGGCGGTGCTTCAGACCAAAGTTCTTGATTAGGTAGGGTGTTTGGGTTACAAGGCAAGGGAGACAGGACTCCTCCCCATTCTTGTCCTTCTCCAACTCCTCTTGCTCTTGAGAAAATCCATCTGGAGCTAGTTTCCTCCCGGACCAGAAAGGGTGCAAATGTGCTGGGTCTTGGGTTTTGTGGAGGACAGGGGTTCCCCCCTGACCCACCCTTCCTGGGACTCACATCATCTGAGGAGGAGCCAGGACATCTGGGGAGTGATGCTGGTACCAGGCTCCAAAGCTGTTGCTGTAGCCACCACCGGTGGGCAGAGCCCCTGCCTTGGGCAGATCCCAGAGGGATGGAAGGGGTGGGGAGCAGGGAGATAAGGATGGGGGTCTCCCAGGGAAGTCCCCTTCCTGTCCTCCAGAGTTCTGCTTCAGGAGCTTCTTGTATTTGGAACGTTTATTTTGAAACCAGATCTTTACCTTTGGTGAGAAAAGGGAAAAGAAGGGAAGATGAGGAGGAGTATGTGTGTGTGAGGGGGTGAGCCAGGGAAACGGACCTAACTGCAGCTGTGGCGGGTGGGTGCAGTCCTGGGAGCCCAGCAGAGACAATGCTGCAGTCCTCCAGAGTCCTTGAAGTGGCGGGAGTCCTGCCCCTGAGCTCTATCCAGTTCTCCCGGTCTGGGTGCCCTCCTCTACCTGCATCTGCCCCTCCCCACAACACATTTTAACACATTCCCCCAACACTTACCGAGGGCGGGCTCTTAACACACCTGGAGAACAGCGACAACGGGCTAGGAGACCCCTGGGGGCTTCCCCCCCCCCTCCCCGGGGAGGGGACTGAGTTCCCAGAGGACATTTCTGGAGCAGGCCAGCTGCAGGAAGGTTGGACCCGCCTCACCTGGGTCTGGGTGAGGCCGAGCTGCGCGGCCAGCTGGGCCCTCTCGGGCAGCGCCAGGTACTGCGTGTGCTGGAAACGCTGGTTCAGGTGCTGCAGCTGCAGGCTCGAATAGATAGTCCTCGGCTTGCGGAGCTTCTTGGTCGGGGCCTGCGGGCGCTGCTCCGAGGGCTCCGGGGACAACGGCGGCTTCTCCGAGTCTGGGGGGCAAGCACCAGGCGGTTCGTGCGGGAAGGTGAGAGGGCCGGACGCGCAGCTTCAGGAGCTTATTTGCATCTCGTTTGCATGAAGGCCTCGGTTGGGCCAGCAGCTCAGGTGCGGGGCTCGGCCCGCTCTACCTTCCGCTCCACGCCCCCTTCTGACCCCATGGCCCCCTGTGCGCCAGGTGGCACAAGAAGCGGTTCTTGCCCTCAGGGAACTCCCACTCTTACGGGTCCTGTGACCCTAGGAAGAGAGCGCCAAGGGCTGAAGCTAGGGTACAGGTGGCGCCAGGGGCGGGAGGTCAGAGTTCAGGCGGGTGCGGTGGCGCCAGTTTGGGGTGGGGCGGGGCCGAAAGGCCCGGTAGAGGACTGGGCTGAGGCCTGGAGCTGAAGGGGGCAGGGCATTCCAGGCGGAGGGAACTACAGAGCAAGGCTCAGAGGCCCGAGACAGTGTTTGCGTGGCAGCCTCCCGGCTCAGAGAGGAGGGGTGGGTCAGAGGGGCCCGGCCAAGCGGGCCTTGAAAGCCGGGTGAGCACCGGCCCGTCCCCACCACCACTCCCAGCCATCGGAGTGCGGAAAGGGCCCCCAGGGTTTGCCATCCCCTATTGCAGGGCGCAGCCCCTCTCCCGAGGCACACCCTACAGGGAATGTGACCAGCTCTGCCCTCCCCCAAGGCCAGCTGGGGGGACCTTAGAAGCCAGGTGGGACTGAGGCGGCCCCCTCCCGCATCCCGCCACACTCACAGTGGGGTTAACCGCTCGCGGGAAGGTGGCCCGGGTTCGGAAAGCGCACAGCGCCGGGCAGCGCAGGCCGTAGGGTCGCCCCAGGATCGCGCTGCCTTGCGGTCTGGTCACCTCTTGTCCCCAGGCCCAGCCACTCTAGGAATCTCAATGGGGGAACAGTGGCCCTAGAATGCGGCGGGTGCAGGGTGAAGGGTCCTCCTTTTCCCGAGGGAGCAGCCCCAACCTGTACCAGTAGGTGGGGACACCCCGGGATCATTCCATTCGTGTGATAGAGCTGGGAGGACCAAGTGGCCGAAACGCCTCGGGGCTTCGGGCCACATCTGCAGCTTTCCACGCAGGTCTGCCGGGCTGTCCCAGCTGAGACTGCTCTTGGCTCCGGTGCCCAGACGCAGCTGGCGTCCGCCAGCTTCCCGCACCCTCACCCTGCCCCTCCCTCCGGTCGTGCTCCCCCAGACGTGTGGTTCTCTGCCCTGGGCCCGGACGCGGTGACCAGTTGCCTTCACCTCCCCCGCATCCCTCCCCGGTAGCCCCGGGCGCTGCTGACTTCTCAGATCCACCCCCCTCGACCCCCACCTCGGTCAATTCCCAGAAAAACCGTTGGGTTTCCGCTCCCGCCCGCGCCTGTCCGGCCTCCCCTGCTTCGACCCTAGCGCTCGCAGCCCCAGGCTGGCCGCCCAGCAACCGACCACCCGCGCTTGTCCGGCTGCGTGGAGCGCGCGGCTCCGGTGGGGACGCCGCACCGGGAGGCAGCCGCGGCTACTGAACTCCCCCAGCCCTGGGCGCCCTAACTCTCCCGGGGGACGCCCCTCCGAGTTCCCTCCTCGACAGCCGCCTTTCTCCACACCTCCTGCGGCAAGTCGCGAAGGGATATGCCCTGGTCGCGGTTATGCAGCCCGGAGGCCTCCCTCCAGGAGCCACCGCCGCCGCACCCGCGGGCTCCGAGGGATGGTGGCACAGCTCACTCGGAGCCAAACCTCTCAGAGGCAGGAGTGGACATGGAGTGGGGGCAAAAAGGAGGACTCAAGCCCTCTCTCAACTCCCAATCATTCAATCTACAAGGGGCAAATCCACCAGTTTCAGGAGGAAAATGCTAACCATCTAGATTAAGAACATGTATGGTTTTCGTTGGATCCGGGGAAATTCTGTAAAGAAAAGAAACTCTCCACTCTTCTGTCCTTAGACCCAGCAGAGGGAAGGCTAGGAGTGTGGAGAATGGGAATGAAAATACTGACCCTATAAATAGTTCTCTGAAGGACAAAGCTATCTTATGACCACCCCTCGACACACATGTACACACAAATGTCCCATACACTAAAGGGGAGAGTCTAAGGGATTCCACCATTTGTAGGAACTAGATCGTTTGTATAAAAAAAAAAAACAAAAACAAACAAACAAATACACACAAACCTCTTCTCCCAACCACTCCTCCTCTAAAGAGGACAGACCCAGAAGTTTGGGAGAGGCAGCTCCAGTTCTGGCACAGAAGGCAGTTAACTTTGGGGGATCTGAGGAAATTCCCTAAAATCCTCTTTTCTGGCCTCAGGCAGTAAAGATCAATTTGCAAGGGCCAAGTGCCTGCAAAACAGGCACACACACCCTTTCTTTGGGCCTCAGTTTGGCCATCTATACATCAAGGAGGTTGAATTCCCAAATCTTTGGGGTCACTTTTGGCTCTGATGGTCTGTGAGCTCATATGTTGGAGTAAGAGAGAGATGTCTTGGTCCAGGCCGACTCTCCTGAAGGCACCCCGTGGATGTGCATCCTTGGAGGAGCCTGTGCTAAAGACAATTGTGGGGGCCATTAGTGGGGGCAGGGAAGGCAGGAGATGTGAGGTCTAATCTGCAGCTAGTCCGGATGGGTATGTATAGTGTTGCAGGCACTCTGCCCAGACCAGGCCCAGGCCCAGGCCCAGGCCCAGGCCCAGGAAGATGGCCTGGCTCCTTGGCCTTTCTGAGGCCTTCCAGTGAGCACTTTCTCAGGGGCTCAGAGTTGCTCCAGACAACCATAACTGGAGCCTATGGCCTCCCTCCACAAAGCCAAGGGGTGGATATGCCCAGAATGGTCTGCTCCTTCAGCAGCAAGGCTAGAGTAGTCAGGACCTGCTAGAGACTACCTGACCCACCTGTGACTACTTGCTTAGAACAATGAGTGGTGGGGTCCTAACCCGAGATTTTGCCAGGCCAGCTTCCTCTCTATCAGACACATTCAGGCCCTAGCCAAGGGCAAGGGGGAGGGGCCCCCCAAAGCCCCCACTTCCACTGTCCCCCAGCTGGGACCTAACTTCATTTGTCTGGCTTTGGCTTGGGCGCTGCTTTCTAAGACATGACAAAGGCAGAGGGGCGACTTGGGGAAGGGAAGGAGAGTACGTAAAGAATCCTGGGGCAGGGGCTAGACACCCGCACCCACATCTGGATTGTTTCAGTTTTCCGTTACCCCTAGGTACACACAACCCCGCTGCTCCAGGCTTCAGGCTTCGCACAACTGCAAATCGAAACCAGGTCGGTCTTGAAAGGAGACCTAGATCAACTCGCCCCCGCCCCTCCCCCCGTCTCCCGCCCCATCCCTTCGCCCTCCCCCCACCCCCAGATCCTGTGGAATCTGAGTAAGGTCTGAATCCCGCTAGCTGCGCCCAACCAGGCGAGGGCGAAGTTTAGGGACGCACAGGATCAGGACCCCAGAGGTGAGAAGAGCCGCGGCGGCCGGACTTACCTGCCTTGGGCTCCTGCTGAGAGGGCGCCGCCGGTTGCTGGCAGGGCAGGTAGGAGTCTCCCGGGGTCGCCGGCGCGGTGTAGGAGTAGGGCAGGAGGTGGCCATAAGGCCCAGAGTAGGGCAAATCGGAGGCAACTGCGTTTGCGGGGGACAGGCCAAGCGGGTAGGTAGCCACTACCGATGGGACAGGGGCGATGTCCGGGAAGATGGCTTTGGAGGCGTCCCGGCCAGGGAGGGGGCAGGGCAAAGAGGTCATTGCGGCCGGGGCCGGGGCCGGGGCCGAAGGGCCTAGGCCATGGCCCGGCACGTAGTCCGCTCCCTCCGCCAACTCTCTTTTCCGAGCCTCGGGCGTTGGGACCGGAGGAGCCCCCCAGCCAGCCTCCCGCACACTTAAAATTGCCCGGAAAGTGTCTCTCTGCGCCTCTTCCAGCGGAGAGCGCGCGCCTGAGAAAGGGGTTCCGAAGGGGTGCCCCCCAGGGCTTTACCCCTCCCCCCTAAATCCATGGGGCCCCCCTCGCCTCGCTCTCGGGTTCGGTTCCCGGGACCTGACGCGGGCACCGCCCACCCAGACACCGCGGATTGGCTGCGGCGCACGGTGACCTCACGGGGGCTGGAGCGGGGCCCGCCCCCCGGGGCAGCCCGCGGTAGGGACCTTCAGAACCGAGAGGTCGGAGGGGCGGTGACACGCTCGCGGCCCAGCTACGCCGGGGGCTTCTCCGGCAGGGGCGCTGGGGGGTCAGGGCGATGGGAGCAGTCTGGGGACCTGGGTCTCAACGGCAGAAACGCGAGGGAGCCGGCGGGGCAGGGGCAGCCCAGGGAAGGCGGCAGGGCCGTGGCCGAGGCGCGGCGGCTGCCGGGGAGGCGGGGTGCGGCGTGGGGGCCCCGGGCACCGGCAGGCGCGCTCCCCAGCTGTCGGGGAGCTGCGCGGGGCTTCTCGTCCCGCCGCCGTCGCCTCGCGGGGGAATCGAGCCCGGCCGCCCGCGCGGGCAGCTTATTCAGCAGGTCGGAGTGCGTCGCTGCAGAGCGCCTGCCGTTTGTTGGTAAACAGACGCCGGGTCGGGGAAGGTGCCGGCCGGCCTCGCGCGCGCGCGGCGCACACGCCCCCGCGGGGCGCCCCGGGCCTGACACGCCGCGACCTCCGCCGCCCCGCCCCCCCCCGGCTTCCGCTTCCGGCGGGGGCCCCGCTGCGGCTCCCGCAGGCCCCCGAGGCCGCTGGCGGGACCCGCCGTCCTGGCTTTGCCCCGCGCGACCCCGCCCCGCCTTTCCCCGCGCCGCCGCGGGAGGCAGAAGTCTTGCAGGAACCGGGACGCGATCCGAGAGTAGGAGGCGAGTCCGGTTGGATGACTCCCTCCGAGGGCGCAGGGAACGCGGCGGCTGGCTTGGTGGCCCTGTCTATACTCCAGTCGGTGCGGGACCTGCCTCTAGACTTTAGCACCCGAGGCCTTGACGGGCAGGTGTCCACGTAGACGAGTATCTGTGGCCACAGGTACACAACTACACAAGACTCCATTCAAACACAACATGTATACAGACAGAGGCGTCTGCACCGGTGTTCACGTTAGCATCCCAGCATGAACAGAAAGGTCCATTAATGGATCTGCAAATACGGAATATAGGCTGTGATGTAAAGCACACCTAGATACCCAAAGATAAATAGCACAATCCCTGAAGAAAAAAAAAAAGCAGGATAGCAGGATACTTGTCTCTTACGCAGACGCATACCTATAACAAGGCAAACTGCCCGTGTACACACTCAAAAACACACGACATCCAGGCACATAAACATCTAGGCATGTGTATCCACCCTCTGAGTGGTAACTGTCCACACACGTGTAAGTTGCTTCATGGTAGGGGGAGAGACAGCTACACCCCTAAACCCACCAGTCCTCACAGATTTCCAGCATGCCCACATACACACCTTTGAGTATGCAACTTGGATGAGCATACTCATGCTTGTACACACATATTTGCTGCTGTTATCGGGACTCAGAGTGAAGGCAGCAGTCTTAGAATTGGAGAGTAGGAGAAGACAAAGATCAAGACAAAGAGGGAGACTTAGAAGAGGAAGAGAAAGCACTGGAGGGTCACCAGGTTCAGAGAGGCAGAAAGATCAAAGGAGTGTTCAGGGTGGCTGATTCCCCCCAGTCAGGTGTCCCCAGGGGCAGATGAGTGAATTGGCTTCAAACTGGACTCTCCCCTGGAATGGATAGAGATGAGTTTTTCCCAGAAAGCACTTGGCTCTGAGCTCTCCCCTTGAAGCCTTGGAGACTCCTCTTTGGGGGGTGGCTGGAGAACCTATTCTCTCCCATCCAACAGGGTATGCAGGGTTTGCTCCGCGGAGAAATGCTCCTTTCACATGGGACCACTTTCCCCTTTCTTACCCAACTCTAGCCACCCTGTGGCTGACCATGCCAGCTTCGAGCTGGGGGCTCTGAACTTACAAGGATATATCCTTCCAAACCTTTCTGTCTACCATCATCACTTTCTTCTGGAAGGAGGCAGCTACACAACAGGGCTGTGGTGTGTTCCAAAGATGGCTTCTCAGGGCACAACAAAGGAAGAGAATTCTCTCTGGAGTGGAGTTGGCTGTCAGGGAAGGTTATATACTAAGGGGGTACTTTTGAGGTCAAACTGAAAGAATGAGTAGAAGGACACTTTGTCCTGTGGTCAAGTACCCAGATTCTCTTCTGTGCTGGAACTAGAAAAAAATAAAAAGGGCAAGGGTAGGTTTTCTGGCAGGCCTCTGTAGCAGTTGACTTTGGGCATCCTCCAAAGCCAGGAGACACATAATGAAAGCGTCTCCTAAACTCTCACGGGGCTTCCCTGAACTCCCCAAAGAGGAGTCTCCCCTTCTCCTGAAGCTCTGTACAACGGTAGGACACAACATTCAAGTCCTGCGCATCTTCACAAAAAGCTCATGAAGTAAGCACTATTCTGATCCTCAGTTGGCAAGTGAGGAAGCGTGTCCATATCTACCTCTTTAGGGCTTTTTTTTCCCCACAGGCTGGAGGGTGTGGGGCTGGGGCACTTGTTGAAGAAATCCTGTGGTCTCTTTGGAGCAGATTCTTCACGGACAGGTCACCTCCAGCAGGTATCACAGCCCACCAGTAGGGGCGGGGGCAGGGAAGGTGGAAGGGGCCAGGATGGGGGCTAGAAGAGCTGTGCTTGAGAAGGGTGTCTTTGAGAAGAGGGGAGAGGGCAGGCTGGAGAAGCCTGCGGCCTGGGTTTCCAGCCCAGCTCACCAGCTCACTGGCTGTGGTAGCCTCAGTTGGCCATTGCCCATCTCTGAGACTTGTTTTATCCAGAAAGGGTAACTTGAGGGAGCTGCATTTAACACATTTGAGCCTTTGTCATTTGGTCTAGAATGAACTGTAGAAATAGAAACCCCCAAACACCATGAAACCAAGAAAAAGGGGGAGGAGGAAGGCATGCAGGCAAAACAAAACGGACTCTCTCCTGCCCTCCCAATACCTCAGCCTCTGGCTTGTCATAAAAATCAGGAGTGGCTCTCTCTGCTCTTTCTCACGCAGGTCCTGTCCATTAGCCAAAGGGGCCCGCCTGGAGAGCCCCAGCACTAGAGTGAGGGCCCGGGAAACGATCCAGGGTTCAGAGTGGGGGACACCGTGCCCCACTTCTAGAGCCAGCCAAGGGTGGGCGACCACCTGATAGATCTACAGGGTACATGGTGGTTTGCAGGCTTTTTTTGGTTCCCCAGGAAAACGCAATCCCACCCGATCCCGCCCGGTAACGTTTCTGTACGCAGAATAAATACCCTCAGCGGTGGGACCAATCCCTGCTTGAGGGACTCTCCCCGAAGCGGGGAAACTCCATCCGAACTAGTGCTCCTCCCCGGTGGCTCATATGCTTGTATCCAACACCCCAAACACACGGTGGATGCGCAGGGCTTGCATGGACCTGCTCAGGGGAATAGAGGTTCCACTGGACCCCAGTTCCTAGCCCTGGGTGGCCAGTGCCAAATTATCGGCACCCTTGGCCCTCCATCGTACCCACCATCTCCAAACGAAATCTTCGTTGTCTCTTGTCTACTCTCAGCAGAATTTAAGTCTGAATTGAGGGCTTTCGTAATATCTCTGTTTGGGGGAAACTTTGAGAATAATTTGATTCGGTGGGGTGGTGGGGGGTGAGAATTCCTCTCTCTGCTCCACCGTGTGTGCAGTGGTAAAGCCCCCACCTTTGGCAAGGCCCGGGGAAGGGACATTTCATAGAGACCTGCACACTTTGCCACACACGCTCCGATTTGACTGGTCTTGAATTTTTAAAAGGTGATTTTTAAAAAATTATTTTAAATATTTAAAAAAATTTTATAGTCTTTATTTAAAAATAATCTCCAGGGGATCCTTGGGTGGCTCAGTGGTTTAGCGCCTGCCTTCGGCCCGGGACGTGATCCTGGAGTCCCGGATCGTGTCTGGTGTCGGGCTCCCTGCGTGGAGCCTGCTTCTCCCTCTTCTCTCTCTCTCTCTCTCTCTCTCTCTCTCTCTCTCTCTCTCTCTGTCTCTCATGAATAAATAAATAAAATCTTAAAAAAATAATCTCCATACCCAACTCGGGGCTCGAACTCACAATCATGAGATCGACAGTCGTTGGCTCCCTCGTCTGAGGCAACCAGGCGCCCCTTGTCTCGAAATTTTGAATGATTGTGTCTCTTTTCTTCTCTCTGATTGATCAGTTCATGAGCGCGGCGCTGGCGGGACTGCAGGCTGCTGACTGAGGTCACCGCCAGTCTGGCCGTGCACTTAGGTTTGCGTTCACCTGCAGCCTCCCGGGAGAACTTTCTCTATGATTGACCTTGCTCCACCCCCACCCCACACCCCCACACACCCCCAGTATCATTTTCCAGATAACTCTGGAGAAGCAACCAGAGGAAGGGGAGAGGGCCGGTTTCAGGGTCTGTGCCCCCTCGAGAGTGGGAAGTGCTCGGCTAGCAAGATTCAGGAGTCTTCTGCTCGGTCCCCAAGCCACACTCCCTCCGGGTCCTCTTAGCTTTTCTTTCCGATGCCAGCCTCCGCTCCAGGAACAGTCTTCTCTTTGGGGATTGACCGGGACGTTTAAATGACAGGCACGTATGTATGAAGTCACCAAACTATGTTAAAACAAACAAAACTATGACCACTCTTGGACATCCCACAACACCCCCAACCCCGCAAAAGAAAACAGTTAACAAAAACTGGGGCGAAAAGAAAACTGGGGCGTTCTGGAAGGTGCGTTGGGGGCGCCGCCCTGCGTAGCGAGGGGGCCCAGCGGCTGGATCTGGGTGCGCGGGGGCCGGAGGCGGCGAGGTGGGGGCGCGGGGGGCCCCAGAGTTCTGACCCGCTGCCCCAGCTCGAGACCGGGCGGGCCTGGGGGAGGAGCCCGCGCCGAGCCGGGCGGACCGACCGCGGGACGCGGCGCCCGATGCCGGGAACGCGGAGAGCCCGCGGGAGGCCCCGAGGCCAACCCGGCTGCAACGAACTCGCCGCG